AAGGGATTGCGGCGTGACCATCCCCCCTGGGGGGTGATTTCTCGCTTTCTGTCTCTATGTCTCTCTCTGTCTGTCTGGCGAGTGCATGCGCCCTACAGTGAAAATCTCTCAAAAAAAAAAAAAAAAAAGCAAATACCCTAGAATAGTGCCTGAAATTTGGTAGAATCTCAATAAACACTTATGAGAAACTTTAAAAACAGCTAAATAAAAAAAATCAAAGCAATTATAAACTCCAGGAAAAATGAAGGTGTAACAGTCATTATTTTCTGTCTCCCAAAAGCCATCCTTTTTTTCTTCTTGGCTAATGGAGACCCAGTTTTATTTAGGTATAGGTGAGCTTTCTCTACCTCAGAAGTGTTGAAGCTTCTCTTTATTCCCCAGAGGGAGAATCCCTATTAGCCAAAGACAATTATGGTCATTTATTCCCTTCGATGGTGATTGGTTTACAACTAAACAAGTGGCAGACACAGTTCTGGCCAATAAGACCTGAGAAGAAGTCTGCTGTGAAGTTTCTAGGGAAGTTCTCACTATTAAGAAAACAACAGGAAGACAGGACATTCTCTCTTCGAGCCAATGAATGCAGCTGCTTCAGCCCTTTCGTGACAATGAGGAAGCAAGAGGACCAAAGCCCACAGCTGAAGATGACATAGCAGAAATATCGGAAAGACCTGGATCTTTGCTGATGTCATTGAGGCACTGAATTAACCAACCCTGAAACTTTCTAAGCTTTTGACTTCTTATTATATGAGGTGATCAACCTCATTACTGTTTAAGTTATTTTGAGTTGACCCTTCTATCACTGGCAACAAAAACACCCAAACTGTCATATGCTGTTGATTAGCTACCCATTCTCAACCCTCTTCTCTACTACAGAGGCTGAAAATGTCAGATATTAGCTTTCCCAGCTTCCCAGACAGTGAGGAGCTCTAGCGGCCTAGTTCTGACCCCTGAGCTGTAAGAAGTCCACTTAAAGCTATAGGAAAAGAATCCCTCCCACAGCAAAATAAAAGAGAAAGAGAGAGGGGAGGAGAAATTGCTTTTTCTTCCTTCTTTGAGTGATGTAGTGTGAAATGTGACTCTTGGAGTTGTGTCACCCATCTTAAGGCTTTCCAGAGCAAAACCGATTATGAAAGCCAAGCCACTGAGGACGGTGAGTGAACGGAGGGAAGGGACTGTGTTTTGGTGACATTTCCAAACCCTGGCTTACCTACTCACCTGTATGTATGTGTATGTATGTATTGTATGTATTTTTGGCCAGAGAGCACATACACTGTCAGAGGGCACATGCACAAGGGAGAGAGAAAGCCCCTCCATGGAGCATAATGATGCTATAATGCTTTTTCCTGTTTTTCTTTTTTTTTCATCACATCAGGAGTTGGGGCACACACACATGCCTGGCATGTTTTTCAAGCCATCAGGGCCAGGATTCAAACCGTACTCAGCCATGTGGGCCCCAGCTCTCTTAACCACTGAGCTACAGGAGCTAACTTCTCACCTTAACACTTCTTACTAAGGAAGCAAGGAAGAGCCTTATGATTGAAGCCACTGCTGGTGAGATGAGTTTTCTGTTATTGCAACTTGGAGTGAGGGTCCTTATGCTATACTCACATTTTCAGAATTGTTGGGTAGGAGGAACCAGCAGTTAGCGTAATGGCTATGTCGCTGGACTCTCATATAGTCGACTGCAGTTCAAGTCCCGGACCCGGTGACTTAAAACTCACGCCAGGCGCGTGTGCGTGCGTGCCCAAGATCCCGAGAGGAGAATGGAGGAGAAGGGATTGTGGCGTGACCATCCCCCCTGGTGGGTGATTTCTCACTTTCTGTCTCTCTATCTCTCTCTGTCTTTCTGGCGAGCACACGCACCCTATAACAAAAACCTCTCCAAAAAAAAAAGAATTGTTAGGTAAGAAAGGAGATGAGACGATGGGGCAAGCCATAATCTAGCTTATATAGTCACTGAATTTACCAACAGTAAACATTTGCGTGGTCATAATAATATAAACGGTGACCATTGTTTTAACCAAAGGTTGTAAAATAACCCTGTTGGGAGAACAGAGGGAGGAAAATCGAGATCAGGTTGTGTGAAAAAGCCAAGTCTTTATCTCCATGACAGAAAGACCAGCAAATGGCATAATGGTTACATCGCTGGACTTTACATGGTCGACTGCGATTCAAGTCCCGGACCTGGTGGCTTGAAACTCACCCTAGGCAAGTGTGCATGTGCGCCCAAGATCCCGAGAGGAGAATGGAGAAGAAAGGATTACGGCATGGTCATCTCCCCTGGCGGGTGATTTCTTGCCTTCTGTTGCTCTGTCTCTCTCTGTCTCTCCAGCGAGCACATGCGCCCTATAGCAAAAATCTCTCTTACAAAAAAAAAAAAAAAAAAAAACAAAAAAAAAAAAAAAAAACAAGAAAGTCACAAGATCTCATTCTAAAAAACAGAAAACAGGGATGTAAGCACTGTCTTAGTTCATTATTGCATTACTAATAGAAATTACCTGAGACCGGGTAAATTTAAGAGCATAAGGGGTTGTTTTGTTTTGTTTTTGAGAGGTTTTTGCTATAGGGCGCGTGCGCTCGCCAGACAGACAGAGAGAGACATAGAGACACAGAGCAAGAAATCACCCCCCAAGGGGGGATGGCCACGCCGCAATCCTTTCTCCTCCATTCTCCTCTCAGGATCTTGGGCACGCACGCACACGTGCCCAGCGTGAGTTCTAAGCCACCAGGTCCAGGACTCGAACCGCGGTCGACTATGTGGGAGTCCAGCAACATAGCCATTACGCTAACTGCTGGTTCCTAAGGGTTTATTTTGACACATAATTCTGGTGACTGGAAAGTCGGAAGGCATAACCTGGTATCATGCCAGCTTACAACATGGCCAATAGAAACGAAGAGGATGGCACGTGTTGCAGACAGAGAGCAACTTTTGTTCTCTCTCTCTTTCTCTCTTTTTGCTAGAAGGTATATGCGCTCCTCACAGGGGGAGAGAGGGAGAGAAAAAAGCACCACCCATGGGGGAATGATCACATCACAATCCCTTCTCCTCCATTGTCCCCCCCCCCCAATTAAATTGTGGGCATGCACACCCACACACAGCCAGTGTGTTTCTCAAGCTGCTGGGTCCAGGACTTCAATCACATGGTTAATCACGTGGGACCTGGCCACTTAACCACCAGGCCACAGAGCCCGCCTGATCTCTCTTCCATATCAACGAGCTCTCACAAGAACTGACCCCATTTCCTAAGAGCTAGAACTCACAAGACATCATTCATCTAAGTGTCATCTCCATGATGCAATCACCACGATCCAATCATTACTCACCAGGCCTCTTCACTTCTCAACATCAAATTCCAGAACATGAAAACTTTGGGGGACAAATGGTCATCCAAACCATAATAAGAATATTGATTAGAAATGCAGACATATATATCAGGAGAAAGAGAGAAGGGCTGAAAGTATCTGCTTTCGAAGAGAAGCGAGTGAAGTGTGGAAAGCTGAGAGCAGGCAACTGCCAAGATTCATTATGAGCCTTTTAGTTACACTTGACTCTTTTTCCAAAATGAGTACTTATTTTCTGAGAATATCTAAAATCAATTTCAAATCAAATCAAATACTGTTACAGATTTGGAAACACATTTCATGGAAACAGTGGCAAAGAGAAACAAGCTAACAACAACAACAACAAGTGTGTGGTCGCCTCGTTGCTGACTCATTAATGTGCTCTAATGTCAGTTCATAATTAGAAACTTGAGTGGAAGTTATAAAGACCAGGCTGTTAGGGCTAGCCACATAGCACAGTAGTTCAACGCTGTGCATAGGGAGCTGGGTCCCACATGGCTGACTGCCGTTCAAATCCCTGCCTTGGCAGCTTGATAAACCACATCAGGCACATGTTCGTGAGTGCCAACATCCTGAAGGGAAGGAGGAATGGAGGAAAAAGGAATGCTGCGTGACCATACCCCACTCGGGGAGCACTTCTGCTCTTTGTCCAGTAAGTGCACATGCACTCTGGCAATTAAAAAAAAAAAAAAACGTGGGAATTAAAAAAAAAAAAAAAAAAAGGACAAGACATGGGGCCAGCAGGTGGTGTGGTGGTTAAGGCACTAGATTCCCACATGGTGGACCGCGGTTCGAGTCCCAGAACTTGCAGCTTGAAAATCATGACAGAAAGATAAATAAATAAATGTTAAATAAATAAATAAATCTCAGTATACAATATTGTCTTTAAAAAGAAAGAAAGAAAGAAAAAGAACAAGGCTGGGAGAGATGTATGGTAATGTGCATTTTTTTTTTTTTGGAGAGGTTTTCGGGTGTGTGCGCTCGCCAGACAGACAGAGAGAGACATAGAGACAGAAAGCGAGAAATCACCCCCCAGGGGGGATGGTCACGCCACTATCCCTTCTCGTCCACTCTCCTCTTGGGATCTTGGGCACACATGCACACGTACCCGGTGTGAGTTCTAAGCCACCAGGTCCGGGACACGAACCGCGGTCGACTACGTGGGAGTCCAGCGACATAGCCATTACACTAACTGCTGGTTCCCTGGTAATGTGTATTTGTCGTGAATGTAGGAAATGTGACCACAGAACCTAAAATGTTATCTTCTGGTTCAAGGCATCAACTTCTCAATTTACACATGCAGTTATGCGTCCCTTAACGACAAGGATATGTCCTGCGAAATGTATCATTAGATGCATTTCATTGTGCACACATCTTCAGAGGGTACTTACACAGACCTAGATGGTATAACCTACTGTCTAGAGTTTGCAAAACCTCTTCAGCTGCCCTTACCTCAGCCATAGCAGACTCACCACTCACTTTTTAAAAATTTTTTTTATTTTTATTTTTTTTTTAATTACTTTTTTTAACTTTATTTATTATTTTTATTATCATTATTATTTTCCAGTGATCAGAGAGAGACAGAGAGAGAGAGAGAGAGGAAGTAAGAAAGCAAGCCACCAGGTCCGAGACTTGAACCGTGATTGGCCATGTGGGAGTCCAGCACCTCCAACCACCATGCCACTTGCCAGCCCCACCACTCACTTTTTCATGATGTAATGAATAACAATTCTTGCATCGTTTAGACTGCCCAGAGCTAGCAGGAAATTCGACATCCCAGTCGGGGCCATCTTTTTCTTTCAACATCACAAACAAAATTTTGCTTAGGCCGTGATTATCATGGCGTTGAGAGGGATATATTTCTGTGTCTGGTCTTCAATCCAGGTCAATAGACGTTTCCTCATATCAGACATAAGCTCTTCTCTCATTTGTATTGGTCTCTTCACCTTCAATGAAGCAGATCTTTGAGCAGCTTCTGTCACTTCGTTCGTGTTCTCCAAGAGTGGACCTGTGGTGGAGTGGGACAGGCCTGACCATTGAGTAATAGGCATCATTGATGTTCCACCATCCTAAAGCCCTTTCTCACTTTTAATTTTCCTGCCCACCAGCATATCGTGATGCAGCCAGAAGATCCCCACCAGAAATGCCCAGGCCTTGCACTTCCAAACCATGAGCCGAATAAAACATCTATTCCCTTAAATCACCCAGACTCACATTTTCTGTTATTAGCAACCAAATGGACTAGAACACAAAGAAATCAGAACTCCAAAACACAAGAAGGGTTCGATAAGCTGTGGTGAGCTTGAAAGAATGCAGACAACCTCCAGGAGCTGCAAGCGGGCTCCTGGCTGACAGCCATCAAGGGCAGGAAGACCTCAGTCCTACAACCATAAGGACCTGCATTCTACCACCAATAATAATGAGTTTGGACTATGTCCCCCAGAGCCTCCGGATAAGACCTCAGGCCTTGATTTGAACTTTGGATGTCATGAGCAGAGGACCCAGCCATGCCAGGCCAGACTTCTGACCTACAACACTGTGAGCTAATAAGTGGGTATTGTTTTAAACCACTAAGTTTGTGATCATTTGTTATGCGGCAACAGAATTCTAATACGCTGTGTTTAAAAGGGCGTGCAGAAACTGACACATTCATTTATTATGGGTTAGCATGTAAACAGGTACAACCTCTATGAGAGCAAAGTGGCACTATCCATGAAAACTGATGTTGCTCATCCCTTTGACCTGGCAATTCTACCTTTAAGGATCCATCACAGGGGACCAGCAGGTGGCATGGTGGTCAAGGCACTGGACACTCCCACATGGCCGACCAGAGTTCAATTCCTGGTGGCTTGCTTTCTCACTTCCTCTCTCTCTCATTCTCACCCTCTGTCTCTCTCTGGTCAAAAAAATTAAAAAAAAAAAAAAAGAATAAATAAAATAAAATAAATAATTAAAAAAAGGATCCATCCCACAGATAATCTCACTCATGTGCAAGATGATCTATAAACAAGGCCATGCACTGTAGCTTTGCTTCTGGTAACACCAGGACTGTACACAGCCTGAATATCTACCAGTAGCAGGCTAGCCCGATACATAATGGTGTGGGCTCCATCATGAGGCTGCTGCAGATATCCAAGTACAGAAAGATCTCTAGGACAGATCAGCCATTGGCGTGGAGGTTGCGGCTGGATCCCAAATGGCCACCTACATACACAGTCTGAGTCCCAGACTTCATGGCTTGAAAACACCGAGTGCGTGTGCATGCATACCCAAAATTCCCAAAAGAAAAATGGAGGAAAGCGGATTGTGACTTGCCCATCCCCCCTGGGGGGTTCTCAGTTTCTCTCTCTCTCTCTCTCACTGATGAGCACTGAGCAGACATATCCTGTAGGGGGAAAAAAAAATAAAACTCTAGGAATTATCTTTAGGTAAAACTGTAAAGGCATATAGGGGGCCAGCAGGTGGCATGGCGATTAAGGCGTTGGAATTCCCATATGACCAACCATGGTTCGAGTCCCAGACCTGGCAGCTTGCTTTCTCCCTCTCCTTCTCTTTCATTGTTTTTTTTTTTTTTCCCCCAAAACCTATCTGAAAAAATAATAAATAAATAAACAAAATAATTCTTTTTTTAAAAAAAAAGATGGTATACAGAATGTTACTATTTATATGGGGCAAAAAAGGAAAACAAATATATAAGCTGATATGTTAATAAATGCATAAGCGATCTCCGAAAAATAAGCAAAAAACCAGCCCCAAGGACTGCCTTTGAGGATGGGCCTTGAGAAGGAGGAAGGCTGTTTCCAGGTTCTCTTTGTTCTCTTTCTAGAACAAGAAGGTATATGTTTGACCTGTTCAGAAAAATAAACACAAACCAAAACCAAACACACAAAATAGGCCAAGATATCTGTGTGGTTGCTATTTGTTGGTTTGTTTTGAGAAGTTTTTGCTATAGGGGCTATAGGGCGTGTGCGCTCGCCCGGAAAGACAAGAGAGACAGAGAGACAGGAAACAAGAAATCACCCCCCAGGGGGGATGGCCACACCGCAATCCCTTCTCCTCCATTCTCCTCTCGGGATCTTGGGCACGCACGCACACGCGCCCAGCGTGAGTTTAAGCCACCAGGTTCGGGACTCAAACCGCGATCGACTACATGGGAGTTCAGCGACATAGCCATTATGCCAACTGCTGGTCCAAAGCTACATTTCTTTAAAGGAAAGAAGGAAGGAGAGAGGGAAGGGAGAGAGGAAGCAGGAGGAGGAAGGGAGGTGGAAAATACTAGGGCCGCCACCCCTCTCTGTTCAGCTGAAGCCTTATACTAGGTATCAACGCCAAGGCTCATTATCAGGCAAATGCCCACTCTTAAGAGGCACAGAGCTGCCCCCTGTGGGAACGACCCTCTGCGCCCCCTGGGGCTGAATGTGCACCCACCTGGCTCACAGTAGGTGCCTCATACATATTTACTACGTGACTAACGGTGCGTGGATTGCTGCTTCATCCATGTTCTTTCCTGTACCACATTACGATGGAAATGTGGTTTCGTCCTTATGTTTATGGAATTTCTAAATTTTTGCTCAAAAGTTGGCATTTCAGTATTAGGCGTTGTCTTTTTTCCGGCAGGCAGCAGTGGGGAAAGAGCAACAGTTAGGGTGTTTATACACGGTGAACTGATTTTGAAATTGGCCAAGGTCTTGGAATACGGCGTGAGCCCCAGACCTGGCTGCATGGAAGATCTGGCCCTGCTCACCTCGACAACTCTCCTAAGTATGTACCCCAAAGGCTGGCCATTCGGAACTGGAGGCCACAGTTTTTCACACCCACCCACCCTTTCCCCTTGGTCCCTCTATCAAAGCCTTTTGTTTGGTGAAACTTTCATGATCCACCTGGCCTAGCTTGGGGCCTGTTCTTCGTTCTTCGGTGCTCCCAGAGCTCCCATTCACATCTCTATAGCCTTGGTCGATGTTCCCCCAAAGCGAACAATGGCCCAAGGACACTGAATGCAGGTGATTTATCTGGGATGTGGCCCTAGGAATCACAGGGGAGAGAGTAGAGAGAATGAGATGGGACAGGGAGGGAAGCCATTGAAGTGTGCATCAGAGCTGGTAGACAGCCAGGGTGCAAAGCTGCTGGGGATCACCGGAGCTCACCTTGAAACTGGCCCATGAGAACTGCTGTATTGGGACCAGCAGGTGGTGTGGTGGTTAAGGTGCTGGACATTCCCACACTGCTGACCGTGGTTCAAGGCCTGGGCCTGGTGGCTTGCTTTCTTTCTCTCTCTCTCTCTGTCTCTCTCTAGGCAAGATAAAATAAGTAAATGAATACATTAAAAATTAAAAATAATGGGACCAGCAGTTAGTGTAATGGCTATGTCGCTGGACTCCCACGTAGTCGACTGTGGTTCACGTCCCGGACCCGGTGGCTTAAAAGTCATGCCGGGCGCGTGTGTGTGCATGCCCAAGATCCCGAGAGGAGAATGGAGGAGAAGGGATTGCGGCGTGGCCATCCCCCCCGGCGGGTGATTTCTCGCTTTCTGTCTCTCTGTCTCTCTCTGTCTGTCTGGCGAGCGCACGCGCCCTATAGCGAAAAAACATCTCAAAAAAAAATTAAAACTAAATAATTATTTAAAAAAAAAAAAAAAGAACTACTGTATTGCACACCTAAAAATGATTATGATGGCGCCAACCTTGTGGCCAGGTGGTTTAGGGTGCCGGATTCCACATGGCTGACGGAGTGGTTCAAGTCCCTGCCCTGGCTGTTTGAGCAACACGCAGGGGGCACATGTGCTTGTGTGCTCCAAATCCTAACAGGATGGAGAAATAGAGGAGAAGGGATTGTGATGTGACCACGCCCCATTGAGGGATACTGTCTCCTTCTCTCTGTCTATCCAGCTCTGGCTCTGAGCTCCTGAGCCCCTCGTATATAGCTGCTCTCTGGGGAAAAAAAAAAAATTAATTAGTTATGATGGTCAATTTTACGTTAGGTGTTTTTACTACATTTTTTTAAAAATTATTTACTTAAGTTTACTTTTTCACTCATTTATTTTAATTTGACCAGGGAGAGACAGAGAGAAAGTGGGAAAGCAAGCCACCAAGTCCGAGACTTGAACTGTGGTCAGCCATGTGGGAGTTTCCAGAGCCTCAACCATCACATCACCTTCTGGCCCCCCTACAATTTTATTTATTTATTTATTTTTTTAAAACTATGCCACTGGAGCCAGCAGATGACATGGTAGTTAAGATGCTGGACTCGCACATGGCTAACCATGAGTTTGAGTCCCCGACCTGGCAGCTTGAAAAATCACACCAGGTGAGTGTGCATGTGTGCTCAAAATCCCAAGAGGAGAATGGAGGAGAAGCGATTACAGGGTGGTCATACCCCCCAGGGAGTGATTTCTCACTTTCCCTCTCTCTGTTTCTGTCTGCCAAGCACACGCTCCCTATGGCAAAAATCTAAAAATGAGCCTGTCCCACTGAAGAGGACAGGAGGCTAGGGCAATGCCCAATTACTAGCCCTGTCCCCATCTCTCTTACATACAATTTGGGGCTGTCTCCCCAGTGACATTCAAGCCTAGAACCGAGAGAGACAGGTGCTTAAAGTAACTCAAGTGGAGTCAGCAGGGCTATGGATGGGCCATGGACAGCAGCCGTGCCGTCTATCATAACCCGGAATTACAATTACGTTTGTATTTCTTCCTCCTCCACCCCATAGGCTGCATTCTTCATCTCTCAATCTCCAGCTTTCAGCAGTATTCTAGTATGCATTTAATGTTCAAATCTGCTTAAATGCGTGGGTGGGTGAACGAGTGAGTGAATGAATAAATTTGGAGTTGACGTTACTGACAACGGAGAGAGCTGATAGATTTCGAGCAGACTAGAGTCAATTCAGGGCAGCTTTGAATGCCAGAACAAGTTGTCTTCTTTAATCATTGAAGAGGGGCCCGGCAGGTGGCGTGGTGCTTGAGGGTACTGGACTCCCACATAGCCCACCAAGGTTCCAGTCCTGGACCTGGTG